AGATACATAGATACATAGATACATAAATACATAGATACATAGATACATAGATACATAGATACATAGATACATAGAAACATAGATACATAGATACATAGATACATAGATAAATAGATACATAGATACATAGATACATAGATACATAGATACATAGATACATAGATACATAGATGCATAGATACATAGATACATAGATACATAGAAACATAGATACATAGATACATAGATACATAGATACATAGATACATAGAAACATAGATACATAGATACATAGATACATAGATACATAGATACATAGATACATAGATACATAGATACATAGATACATAGATACATAGATACATAGATACATAGATACATAGATACATAGATACATAGATACATAGATACATAGATACATAGATACATAGATACATAGATACATAGATACATAGCTTGTATCCAGTTTATTTGCACGCATTGTAGATATCAATTGAATTGAGCCGCAGTGAACCGCAGCTAACTGTATCGCATCGATGACAAGTCAGAGCGAGCGGGAGAGAGAGAGCGAGAGTTGGAACATGTCAGGCAATAAATACTCTAGTTTTATAATAGTCAAATGACAGTTGCTGGCGAGCTTTCGCCATTTCGCTCGCTTGCCCCAACTCAAATGGAACGGAAAGAGCCAACAACCTCCAGTGCTTAGGCGACGTCCCGTTATGGTTACTGTGTCTAGTTGGCAAACGGTACATTGATGGTAAATGCTCGATGCTCAGTGGTCGATGGACCGTCGACTGCTCCATCCTCTGTCCCGGTCTCTGCTTTGCCGGCGACATCAAAGGCGACACATGCCAACTGAGAGGGAGACAGAATAAGAGAGACAGAGGGAGATACAGGGGAGATACAGAGGGACTAATAAAAATGGCAACGAAATTATGCAATTAGTGGCGTAATATGAAGCACTTTACGGGCATTGTGGGCGTTCTCGTTAATAACAGTTGTGTGCGCTGTTTGTTGTTCTTGTTGGCTAGCTGGGTGTCTGGCTGTCCGTCTGTCCGGCTGTCCGGCTGTCTGGCATTTCGGCTGTGGTTGCACAATCTACTTGAATGGCCAGCGCAAAAGTTGTTTGCAACCATGACGAGAATCGTTGCGGACAAACAGCTCCATGAGTGTGGGAGCCAACAATGAAGTCAATGGACAACGGAATCCTCGTTTTATGCTAGCGATATTCTTGTGGCTTATCGAGTTGTGCAGCCATTGTTCGGCGACTAGGTGTAGGGGTAGCCACCGCTACAGTTACCTCTATGCACTTCAAAGAGTGCCAAGCAGAGCAGAGCTGAGCGGTGTACATTGATTTACATTCCATTTGCTTTCACATCAACGACATTAAATCACGTCGCATCCCACTTCGTGGTAGTTAGCTCATTCACTTGGTTAACTATTTCTTTATGTGTAGACTGTATATTATACATTTTCCTTATATTAATATGAATATTAGTTTTGAAACACATACTAATTACTCAATAATATTCTATAGTAATATAGTTATTATTGGAATTGAAAACTACAACAAGTATAGAATACCGGGCTGCCTACGCTGCTGCTCAGTCAATTTGCATTCCCATATCACGCATACGCCCGATGTGCGCGCACGCATTCCGCTATTGTTAAATACAGATGGCAAGCAAGTGTCTTTTATTCTTTGACTTGCTACGGCTAACGAGCAAACATTTTTCATCTAATTTCCTTGCTGCTCTCTGTCTTTCTATTTCTTGTTGTTGTTGTTTTTTTTTTCCTATATATGCATACATATATATTTTTGCATTCTTCCTTCTGGCTCATGCATAGAGGGAGAGAGCAAAGGGTAGGCGCTGCCAGCCAAGAAATTGTGAACATTGCCGTTATATGCTTTGTCTTAGCCTTACGACTAACGTCTACAAACTAGCACAATGTCTATGGGCGTGGGCGTATGTGTGTGTGTGTATGTGAAGTATAGGTGTTTGAGTGTGTCTTCGCATACATGCACACACACACACACACACACACACACACACATTTATATATGCACACTAATAGCATGCGCATATGAAATATATGGTCGGGTAGCGTTGGTAACCTTGGCGTCGCTTTCTTTTGCTGCTTAACGGTTTGCTTTGCATATCGCACCATCCACCCCCACCCAATTGTTGCAAAAGCCGATGTGGGTGTGTATGTGTGTGTGTGTGTGTGTGTTACCACAGCCACGCAGCCGCTGCGGTAGCCGCAACACTGCAGCACAGCGAGCTCAGGTAGAGTCGGAGTGGGCTGCATGTAAATACTTTGAACGTAGGCAAGATACGGCACTGCAAACAATTTTGGTTGACTTCTGATGAAAACTACTTGCATTATTTTATTGCGCAGCCGAGCCGTTTGATTAGCTTCTGCTAGTGCAAACTCATATAATGTAAAACTTTATCTTTAAACGAAACTGTATGTCTTTTATGTCTAATAAAAGAATTTAATTGAATTAGCACTGAATTTAATTTAACAATTTAATTAGATTTATTTTTTATTTAAATTTATAATTTATAATTTATGATAATATTTAATTACCTGAAAAAAT